CAGCCACGGCATAGACCGCTGACTTCGCCACCCACAATCAAACGGTTCCTCTCAAACTTGGCCGTTTTGGCCGGTTTAAATTAAATTTTAAATCGATTTGCATGAAAGACCTGTGAAAAATAAAAGTTAGGGGGCCTCTGTCCACTAGAAAAAGGAAAAAAATCGATACCCTACCAGTGAAGGGTCTTCGGGGTACGACGGCTCCGTTTGTTCCTCTTTTACAGTCGAGGTGTTTTTTCGGCTAACCTGCACCTGAAGGAAAACAAGGATCGCAATGGTCAAAGAACTGAGGGGAATGAAAACCGAGAGGAGGGTCATCGAAGAGGTTTTCGGGTTACAGTTGCGGTGGCTCGGCTAAGCTCTGCTCGTGTTTTTCATCTCACCCGCTGTCCTTTTATCTCTATATCGGCGTGGGGAGGTTCGAAATTCAATTCTGAGTGGAAGGGAAATTTTTTTTACCTTTTTCAGCGTCAGCGATGCCTCTAGTGCAGCAGCGATGGTGTCCCTCCGGCGACTGATCTTTTCTTTGGTCGTCCTCCTTCTTCTTCTCTAGTCAGAGCTGTTGATTAGGGTTTTGGTGCCAACTAAAGAGAGGTTTAAATACCTCTATTTCTTTGATTCTGACCGTTCATTTGCGTCAACATAGAGCGAGGAGGACCGTCTGATTCGGTGCTTGTTTAGGCCGATATGTGTGTAAATCTGGATCGTCCATCGCGATCAAATCCAGTCGTCCGACGTATGAAAAAGAAACAGATCTGGGCTGTTCGTACGTGTGGGATGCGATCTGGACCGTTGGATCGACCAGGCATGCGGATCGCCTGCGTAGAACTAGTGTTAGTGTGTCCGCCACACGGCGTATTCTGACTCGTCGTGCTGCTGACATAGTCGTCTCACGTGGCTGTATTTTTTAAAATTATATTTTTACCCCAGTTTTTCATATTTCTTTTTAAATAGGTCATCACTTATTTCTACTTTAGTTCTAATTTTTGAAAATATTTAAAAATACATCCAAAATTCAATTTTCAATAAAATTTCATAAAAACTAAAATTAAATTATTTTAAATATATTTTTTCATTAATGTTAAATTATCTCGAACTAAATTTTTAAGCCCGAGTGTTACAAAAGACAAGACCAATTGATCGATAAATGAAACGTTGAAGATGGCAGATGTGAGACTAAGAAATGAAGATGGTGAGTGGCGGAGGTGCAATGTTGCACGACAGATAAAAAATTAAATAAATAAAAATAAAATGTAACGGTGAAGACGCAATGAATACACAAATGAGCAATGTTGCTGAGTGGTGAAAGTGTGATGAAGACAAAGACAAACGACTGTGGTTAAGACATTTGGAAGCTCCAAAGTCGCAGAAGCTCAAGGGCAAGTGATTGAGAGAGTCGAAAATGAAAAAGAAGTTGGTTACAAGTGAAATTGTGTTGGTTAAGTGGGTTTTGGGTTTTACTATTTTCTTTATATATTTTTTAGTTAAAATTTTTATTATAATATATATATTTATTATGTATTTAAAACACAAATATGAACTCGTTCTACCTTAGTTAGTCAGTTTTAAAAAATTCGTTGATTTGATCTAATTTTGTTTAAATTGGGTTAAAATCCGTAAAAATTTAAGATGAACAAAAAAAATTTAGTAAGTTATTATTTTTATTTAAAATTTACCAAATATTATGCTAAACCTTTTTATTTTCTTTTAATATTTAATAATTTAAAAAAAAAATGAAAGAACTAAGTAAAATAAAATTTAGCACAATGTCATCAAAAAGAGTATATAAGTGTTTAATGATTAGTTCTCCTCACAATTCACCCGTTTTTTAAGTCGGTTCTTTCCTTTCCAAATAATTTAATAATAATATAATTATTAAATAATAGATAAAAATGGATTTCCTTAATTAATTAATTAATTACTTCTAACCCAAAAACAACGTAGAAAGAATCCAATGATGATGCAATTAGCGCAATATTAGTGATTAATTAACCCAAATCAAATCATTAATCTAACATTTCCTCTAACCCTTCTCCTAATCAAACAGACTTAAACGACACCCACTACCTAACACAATAATACTTCAAAACATTTTCCTCCCCTTTTCTTACTCTTTCCTTCCCTAAAAAGCTATCCCACTTTTTCCTCTCAAATTTTCCCTCACTTTTTCTCTCTCTCCAAACACTCCTCCTCTCCTCTTATCTCCCCCTCCCCCTCCCCCTCCCCCTGACACATCTCTGCCCAACGCTTTTTTGTCTTTCTCTCCAAACCTTTGTCCCCTTTCACTCGAAAGCTCTTCGCCTTTCGAATCTCTAAAGTAACTAACTCA